GGGGGGCGGGGGGGGGGGAGGGGTGCCGGGGGGGGGGGTTCAGTCAAGAGACATTTAAAGAAGTTTATATAAGGCGGGACACATGTGCTATTCAGATTACTGACAATATTAATCCCCACCTCAGTTTGCTCTGGGATATTTTGGTCCAGATTTGTGATTATGGAGAACTATTTCTCCCAAAGCCAAATACAAAAATCTAATCTTCAGAGTCAATATAGCAGAGAAATGCTGTACAGATTGTAAAGCCCCTTGAGGCAGATTTGTGATATTGGGCTATGCAAATAAATTTGACTTGACACTGAGTGTAACAAAGCCATAATATGTCGACAGCAGGCTACACAAAACTGCATTCACATACATTTATAAGTTCAAAACAGAATTTCAACGTATTTTTTTATCAGAAAAGCTTTGATTTAAGCACAATATCAACTGACCATGGGTCCTCTTTTACCTCATTTCTAACTCGAGGCCCTGTTTTGAAGAGGTCCCGTGTTAAAATCCTTCATTATCTCAGTGCATGTTGCTACATCATTGCCCTTAATCAAATTATCCACAGCACATCTTGCACCAGCTAGTATTCTAGCAGGGAAAGATAGAAAAACGGAGAATGGGTGGAATGTGGGGTTAATGGGGGCCCCATCAACTCATTTTTGCCCTGGGGCCCCAGAGACAGTTTAGACAGCCATGAGTTGAGCAATTCTTTGATTGTTTTAGACAACATATTTCTTTCAATTTGGCTCTTCGTTATGTTCCATTTATATTGAATCATCTGAAAAAGGGTATATTAGAGGGCCAGTTACAGCTAACATTAACTGTATACATGTTATTCTGCTTGGGATATAATTGCGTGTAGAGGCAGCTTTAATCACATTGGACATCATTATAGTTCCCAAAAAAACGTGTTAGTGTAATATAACGTTATACATTATATACATATAACATATTATTATTATTTAAATTGCCAACGTAAAATGTCCACTTGAATCAATACTGCCTTGAATTGACAAAATAAGTCGTATTACTTCCTGAAATAAATCCTACCTTGTGTAAACATGCTTTAATTGGCGGACTTGACAAACCCAGCGCGTGTCCTGCATTTGTATTCGCTACAGCACCTGTCAATTTAGAATTAAGTCCCGCCTACGCTGTCAGTCATATTTCTTTTTTTCCGGTTTTTCACTCGGTAACCAAGGCAGAATAAAACTCACTTTATCCGGTTTCGGTAAGATTGCCCCCGACGACGTTGATACTGCGGTCCTGGTTTGAGTCGACCTGGATATATTAGATGTTTTCAAGCCGGTGTTACGGCTCGTTACCCCCGCATTTCTGGTGAAAAGTCGCAGCGGGAGCCGCAGTATACCCGTCGCCATTTTTTCCAGTAATGTGATAGAGGGTGGGTGACGCCTCTGCGCGAGGCACTGGGATGTCCTCAATGGGCGCGGCTTGACTATTGACCAACTGTAATAAATAGTTTCTATGCATCAATTGCCTTTATCAGTTTTATACTGCAAATTACCATCTGTCTCTGTGTTGTGGATAACCTCATTCAAATTCATTTTGTAAAATAATGAATAAAGAAAAACAAGAGGTACAAAAAACATAATGAATAGTGCAAGTTGGTACCAGAGAGGTAAATCATCTATTGATTGAAGTGTATTTTCAAGACAAAACTATACAAATTCACTTAAAATACAACATTACATCGAATCTATCAATCTGTGCATTAGTACACATTGTCTTACTGATTACACCAAATATACATGGGTGTAAGCAAAGTGACAAAAATAAATGAAAAACAAGCATACATTTAGTTTATCGTCCATATATTAGCCTAAATCAACACTTTCTTTTCTGGCTCAATTTGACCAAAAGGATAAGCTAATTCATTATTTGGCTATTTACATACAGCAAGCCTTTATTACTGTAATGCCAAATATAGACCAAAATAATGTTACTACTGTGTAAAGCTTTTCTGATGTGAGGAGGATCATTATCTCAGTATGTTTTTCTGGAAACGGTTTAACTAAAAGTTTACATTCTACAATTACAAACTTTCCCAAGGTAGATACTGTATAGGCTAATTCAAGTAAGTTAGACTATTTATATTAAAAAGAGACTATCTTTAAGTCCGCATAAATAAATAATTCTGTATTTCTCCACTAGAATTGCATAAACTGGTAATGTGGAGAGGGTTTTGAAATGGCATTTAGAGAAAATACAAATGTACTGTTAGACATTTAAATAACAAAAGACTTGAACTCATTACCAAAGTATTTCTAAAATCCTGCCTATTCACTTAAGCGTGATTGGTACATTTTTTAAGGGATTCACTCACCATTTCAGTTTGAGAACAGTCAAACATAAGCAATAAAACAGTTAGTTGTATAATATATTGTTTTTATTCCAGATAACGTGTCTGTGTGGAGAGTAATGCTGTTTTTATGTAAGGTAATTACCAACAGAAAACGTACAATTAAACAATAAAAACAATGTAAATTAAATAAATAATGTATTAAATATGTATTCCAAATACTGCTGAAGTTTTTATACATTCCACAATTCATTTGTTCATATTTGTAAGGTGTTCAAATAAATATTTCCCAACATTTTGATGTTTGAGTGAGGTGTAACGTCCTAAAACGACCAGCGCGCGAGGCTGACTGCAGCACTTCCTCGAGGCGGAGAGACTGGAGCGCGCTCCGCGGCGACGCGCACGGAGGGGAAGTGGAAAAGGCGGAAGAAAGGACGTTGAATAAACTTGCCAACTTCTAGCCGACTGGCTACAAATACGGTTAGAGAGTGTGTTACAGAGGAACTGGTGACTTGTTTCTGTACAGATCCAGTTAGCTAACCCGCCGCCCTGTCTACACTCAGTCACCGCTCTCTCTACTCGACACACGACACGACTACAGGACTCCAGTTTTCAAACAGACGTTGTTCAACCGACCCGAAGCCATCCACCGTTACAAAGTCACATTTAGCTGTTGTTAAAGTGCTGTGATAACCAATCCATTGCACCACCGTTATACACAACCAGCTCGCTGGCTCGCCTGGAGTCGGGCTTTTTCCTCCTTGTGGGAAAAGTTGTCCGCGGTTGGCGGAGGTGCCAAAGAGGCCTACAGTCGAGGAGTCTGCATGTGTGAGGACTGTTGCTGGCGAGGAGTGACTCACACATCGTTAGCTAAACACTCTAAACAATGTCGGCCCAGGCACAGATGCGAGCGATGCTGGACCAGCTCATGGGGACGGGGAGAGACGGTGAGCACGGCTGGCTGTGGTGGAGACTGGTGTCTGCTCCGAGCAGGACGGGAGTTTGTGTTGGTGCTAGCATTAGCCAGGAAGCTAACAGATAAGCCAGTCAGTGCGGCATGCTTTGCGAACCGAGCTAGCTAACATGAGGATAGCTAGCCGACTAGCTACCTGTTGTATGTGTGAGTCCGAGTGTAAATGGCAAGTTGAGTTCTTGCTAACATCCTCCACAAAAAGACAAACATTACTAACACGTTAGCGCTGTATTTAATCATGGTCCGTGTGCTCTTTTATCCGTGGCTCCCTTTCTTTCCACCAGATGTTGTCATTTTATCAGACTCTATCTGAGCAGTTAACTTTTAGGATTTACTGGCAAGATGGCTCATTCATGGCAAGTTTGAACCTCATCATGCCATGTTTCAGTCGGTGCACCGGCTGACAAGTGCTCTTGTGTTTTTCTTTATTTAAGGAGATTCCATGCGGCAGAGAATCAAATTCACAGATGAGCGGGTCTGCAAAAGTCACCTCCTGGATTCCTGTCCTCATGATATTCTGTCTGGCACCGTGAGTATCATGTTCACACACACATCATATATCATATACTGCAGTCAGAAATAATTAGGACAGCTGTTATCACAGGTTTGGTCCTACTCCGGCACATTGAACTAAAATTGCACAATGTCTGTGCATGTTTAGGTTGTGCACAGTGTAGGACACATCCGAGGATGAGATGGAAGCCCTGATAGTGAGACGGGAGGATAGCTACAGCACAGGGCCTGACATGGCATCAGTAGAAACCGTTTCAAATGTCAGCTGCAGTTTGGATCACAGACGACAGCCAGATTGTGCCTGTAAATAATTGAATGTAACTTTAAACTTGTCAAATGACTTTCTGTCCCCTCAAATTGAGAGACCGTAAATATGGGAAAAAGGGGGCTACATTTCCAACACTATTCATCAAAATGTGAATCCAAACACCCTTGAGTTAAAGCAGAGTCAATCACTATTCAATACAAAATGTACAAAACAAATACGAAGAGGTGCTTGTGTCTCAATGCTTTGTTAGTGCACTGTACATAACCATATAGAAACCGTCTGTGTCGAGGACCTGGCCGTGCAGCTCTGTGATTCAAAGGATATCACGTTTACACTCCCTAATGTGTAATGTTTTAAGTCGGGATGACATTTAACAAATAGGGAATTATTAGAATGACAAATCTCAAGATGAGTGATGAAGCATACAAATGCAGTACGTGGACGTCTTTCTGTTTTCTGTAGAGAATGGATCTGGGAGAGTGTATGAAAGTCCACGACCTGGCCCTCAGAGCGGACTTCGAGATTGCCTCTAAAGAGCAGGAGTACTTCTTCGAGCTTGATGTGAGTAGTACACACACACACTAACACCCCATCATGTATAGCTCTCGAGAAAGTAGAGGTTGTGTTCTTTGTCTCCACTGCACTCAGTCAGAGAGTTATGCAACTCTCTCTGTCATAAACTGAGTCACACGTGCCAAATTTACAAGCGAGACCAGCTCTGGCGTTCTACGCTTGCTTCTCACATTTCCATCCATCCATCCATTTTCCACCGCTTATCCGGGGTCGGGTCGCGGTGGCAGCAGGCCAAGCAGGCCGACCCAGACCTCCCTCTCACCGGCAATATGTTCCAGCTCATTCTGGGGGATCCCGAGGCGTTCCCAGGCCACATTTCCAAGTAAATTTGGTCAAAGTGCTGCTGTGAAATTGTGACTAACTGCATAAGAAGTTGGAGGTCTAATTAAAGCAGCCCTAAGGAAGCTCTAGTTTGTTGTCTGAGAAAGCTATTAAGAAGAAAAAGATGCATGCATAGCAGATTTTTTTTAAGATGAATTTTAAGTTTAATCTGGTAAATTTGTATATCCAACACACACTGAAAGTCGTTTAACTCGTGTGTTTTCTCACAGGCTGCCGAACACCTCCAGTCTTTCATCGCTGACTGCGACCGCAGGACCGATCTGGCCAAGAAGAGACTAGCAGAGACGCAGGATGAGATCAGCGCTGAAGTGGCTGCAAAGGTGACAAACTCTTTTTTTTTTTTTTTTTTTTTTTTTTTAATGAAAGCTGTGCTCTTTATGACGGGGAATAAATGGTGATCATGAATCTGTGCAAAGTGTGTAGAAATCAACATTCCCCCTCCCACCCCTCTGTTTCTCCTGCGGTGAAAAAGGCTGAACGTGTCCACGAGCTGAACGAAGAGATCGGGAAGCTGCTGGCCCGGGCGGAGCAGCTCGGGGGCGAGGGGAACGTAGACGAGGCCCAGCAAGTGCTGGAGATGGTGGAGAAGACTCGAGGCTTGAAGAAGGAAGCAGAGGTCAGAAAGTTGATCACGGCTTTGTTGTGACTAGTTTATTGTTTTAGAATAAATACATATTTGTATATTTGTACTCGCACATCACCTTACTAGAGCTGCAATATTTGTTTCAGACCGTGAAGGTGTTTTGTTTACTCATGACATTCGTAATAAAGGCAGTAAAACACAGGATCTTTTCTCGTAATAACAGAAATCTTTATTTTGCAGTCGAGATTAAACACAAGTTAAAATCTGTCCATACTTTAATTCCAGCGTCACGGCCTCTTTACCTTTTGTCGTTGCAGGATGTGTACAGGAACTCCATGCCAGCCTCCAGCTTTCAGCAGCAAAAGCTCAGAGTGTGCGAGGTGTGCTCTGCCTACTTGGGTCTTCACGACAACGATCGCCGTCTAGCCGACCACTTTGGGGGCAAACTGCACATCGGTTTCATTGAAATCCGCGAGAAGCTTGAAAAGCTGAGGGTGAGGGGAGCACTGGAACAGAACTACTTTTAATTTGCACGATTATCGTTCAATGAGACATTTTAGTTGCGATTCCATTTCTGTTTTTGTGCTGTTTTATCAGTTCTGTTCTATTTTTTTTTTTTTTGTTTCATCCAGAAAGCAGTTATAGAAAAACAAGAACGAATGCGGTCGAGAAGACGAGAGGAACGTGAAAAAGACGACGAAAGGGAGCGAGAGTGGGAGCTGGAGCGGGAACGAGAGAGAGAGGGGGAAAGAGAGCAGGAGCGCGAAAAAGAGAAGGAGCGAGAAAAAGAGAGGGAGCGAGAAAGAGAGCGTGAATGGGAGAGAGAGCGCGAGAGGGAGCGGAGGAGGTAAGAAACGGTCTGACTAACTTTGTTGCTGCGTGCAAAGAAAAAACTTGGTGTCCCGTGTAAACCCAACTGTGTTCCTGTCTTAGGTCCAGGTCTAGAAGTGGAGAACGATACAGGTATGTCTGCTTTCAACCGAAGCACTCGAGGAGTTTGGTCCTTTTCACAGTGACTCATGATTTCACAAAGTCTACAGATTCATGGTGCAACATACCGCTGTAAGCTGCAGATATGTGTGTAGATATACACTGTATAGCAAGTGTACTTACAAAACAACTCATTGATTAATCGAGATTACGAAAACAGTCGCAGTGGTGGACCTAAAGAAATGAACATCTGGTTACCTTACCTGAAATCAAGAACAACCACAGCTCTTAACATCATAAAAACATATTAGACATGTATTGGTAGTTTATTAAAACCTAAACTAAAAAAGAGCACAAGTGTCATGTCTGAGTGTAGCTGTTGTATATGCCGTCACCTACCGACTAAACTGACGACGAGATGCTTCAGTGTAAAGCATCAATCTGAGAATCAATTTCCTGTAGCGGTGCAGCTATCTTTTTTTTTTTTTCTTTTTTTTTTTTTCTTTTTTTTTCTACTTAAATCTTTCTCCTTTTCAAAACAATTTTTCTAGGGACGGCGGCACCTCGACTTCGTCCTCCCATCGCTCAAGACGCCACCACTCCTCTCGTTCCAGAGAAGAAGGTGGCGGGGGGGGTGGTGGCGGGGGTGGCGACCGGGATCGGGAGAGAGAGAGGAAGCATCGACACAAGGAGCGGCATCGCTCGAGCTCCCACTCTCACAGGCCCAAGAGGAAGAGGTGTGGCTTCTATCCATCACGACAACCGTCCTCCTGTCCTGTTCACAGTTGTGACGAGCATTTGACCACAATTCTCTGTCATTTATTGGAGTAAAATAATCAGTTGTCAATAGTCATAATCATTTTAGTTCAGCTCTAGAATAATTTTTATATTGGTCTGATAACTGATTTCAACATCACTACTTTTGCTTTAATGCAACAGCCACCGACTATGATCCAAGAATTAAAAATATAGTTTTTGACTCCCAGGTCCTCCAGAGAAAGATCATCTCACACTCGTGACGGAGAGCCCTCGCCGTCCCAGGAGATGTCCAGACAGGGCGCAGCAGGAGAGGGCTGGCGTGAGGACAGGGCGGAGTACGGGGACTGGGAGGGCGCGGAGAAGCCCCCCCCCTCCGCGGACACTGCCACAGCCAGGACCAGGGACCGGGAGAGATCCCTGTCGTACGAGCGAGACCGGCGCTCCAGCTCCGAGGAGCGAGAGTCCGGGGAGATATGAGCAGGAGTGGACACCTCCAAAGTCTTCGGATTGGATACATTAATTGCTAATAAAGGAGCATGGGGAGACGAGTGTGTGCGTGTTGGTGCGAATGTGTGTGTGTTCACGGTAAGAGGGGGACGTGTACATCAGCGGGGTGGACGGTGGAATCTTAACATGGGGATGAGGGAACAACTTCTGTGGTGGCGGTGAAGGAAAAGATGCAAAACCAACTTTTATAAGTATGAATTGTGGAAGCAGTATAGTCTCTTTTTTTTTTTTTTTTTATGCCATCTTGTCGATCCTATGTAAAGTTATTTTGACAGTGACGAGTGAGCGATGAGACGGCAGCCCTACTTTTGAGTCTCTTTTTATTTTGACATTTTTAAAAAAAAATCTTTAGTCGCAACCTTCGACGGTGACACTGTGTTTCCTGTTCCATAAGAAATCCGTCGGTCTCGGCGGCTGCGGATTCATTCACACGGGTTGGACTCATTAACGCTGCGTCCACGGCTGTAGTGTTTGAAAGTGAGCTGAGAAAGACCGAAGGCACTTCTGATGTTTGTGTTTGATTTGCTGCCTTCAAGCCATAACGATCTCATTTGAGAGTTTCGGTACCGATCCACGGGCCCGACTTTTTAAATTCGGGATGCAGCGATGAGCTCATACTACTTAATACACTCACTTGTCCTCCCCTGAAAGAAGTCATTCAAATATTTCCACTCAGTTCCTGACATGTGAATGCATATAGATGATGTGCATATGTACGTACTGACACTGAAAGACCCAGGGACTCCTGTTTGCTGTGATACGACCTGGATGTACTGGGGGAATCTACTTTGCTGTGCCACCATTACGTGAATAAAATGTTCTGTTCTATTCAAATGCAACGTGTTTTATACAAATTTCTGTTCGACTTCACTTCCCGTTTGTGCAGAAGAGTTTAGACAAATTTAGCATGTTGCATTATTTGTGATACAACTTCAGTGTTGAGGTTAGAGCTCCTTTTACCTTCAATGAAGTCCCGTATTTTAGCTGTTTTTGGTCCTGTCATTTATCAATAGTACAAAAATAAGTGTTCAAATTGTTTTTGATCATAAAAATTGTCCTGATAAGACCAGCAAATGCATCTCATTCATTGTAGGTACATCGCTTGGGATGATTTGTGCAGGATAGAACTACTGTTTTAAATTGGAGGGGGGAAAAATGCATTAAAAACATAATTTCAGAATAATATTAAGGATTATAATTATTGATACATTGTGTAAGCATCACTAATGTTGCAGCTTCTAAAGGTGGGGCTAACTTATTTATGTACTGCTGGGGGGCTTATTTCAGGACAAATGCGTCATAATGCATGATTTGATTATATTTTGCATTCATAATCTGCAAAAAAATGTAATGAATTCAAATGTACAATATTTGCCTCCAAAAAAGTGTGCAACCTTAAGAACATAATATGGAACATATAACGTACAAGTACCTCAATTATCTCATTGTACAGTTGCTGTTGTGACACTTTTTTTTTTTTTTTTTAGTTGAGTACCCGTTTCAGATTAATCCTGGATTAGCGGTTCAGCATTTTGCTCCAAAAATACAATCTGGACTCAATGTGTGAAGTGCGAAACACCCAGCGGCCTGTAGGTGGCAGAAGAGAGCTGCCTTTGCGGAGAAAACGTCGACTGCCGTGAAAACGGGAAAACGTCATGACGTTGGACGCACATTTGGAAAAGAAGCGCGACATGAAAACTCCTGAAACGACCAGGGACTGCGTTTGTCTGCTACGTTTATGAAACGGGGAGTGTTTCTATCGGGATGTCGCTGCTGAAGCCGTTCAGTAAGCTGCCTGGTTTGAACTCCGCGAACATCTTGGTGAGTTTGTGGTTCGTTAAACTAAGCAGGTTTAGCTGCTCAGGGTGAGCTAAGAGGAGAGGCTAGAAGTGTTTATAAAGTGAGGCAACGTTAGGCTAGCTCAGCCATCACAGTGGACTTGAACACAGTCAATGTTCCTGTAGTCTGTTCTGGAGAGATACTTTGTGTGTGTGTGTGTGTGTGTGTGTGTGTGTGTGTGTGTGTGTGTGT